GACTTGTATATCGGCTGGCCACCGCAAGTCATTGTGTAGGCCACATATGCACTCATTACGCCACCACGATTCTGAATGGAAGTCGAGTGCGGCGCGCATCACTCAGACGGGATTGATTAACGCCAAAATCTTTATCCTTATCCTTATAATTAGTACAGGAGACGGATATATAAGATGACCGTTTGTTCCGTAGATGCGATGCATAGTAATAACTCACAAGAACAGCTCATGTATCAATATGAACTGCGGCTTCTGGGGACCAACATTTTGTTACCATACATATTTATGGCGCACCTTGTACAGTGCGTTTCATAATTATAGGGCCACCCTAAATTTTTGCAGTTCCAAGCTTGCAGCGCACTTTGGGGAATGCTGCCATAACCAATAGATTCCTCATAACGGGGGACCTTAGTACAGATTTTGTGAAGAAATTTAACTTTAGAATTGTTGAAATAATTTCCTTGGAAGGTATTCTCACCTTTTCATGAGTATGACTACACATTCTTTGACGAAAAAGTTTATTACAACAGAGCGGATGTTAAAACTTCTTAATAATGGGTTGATCCTCCATTATTCGCGAGGACTTCGCCAATTGGCTGCTCTCAACCAAGCTAGCTATCAAATTGGGATCCAACTTTGCCCAAGCGTCGAGGATGGACAGTTTGAGCTCTTCGACTGTGTTGTACTGCTTTGCTTCGTCGTAGATCTGCTTTACAATGGAGGTCCAGACATTCTCCATTGGATTGAAGTCTGGAGAACGTGCAAGCCACTCGGGAACTGTGATATTTCTACTTGCAATCCAATCCGAAGTGGAACGACTGACATGGACAGCCGCGTTATCGTGTATAAAAGTCAATGAACGACGACGGTGTTGTCGGAGAAATGGTAAAAGTCGTTCCTCCAGCACTCTCTGGTATTCTACGGAATCCATACGACCGGAAACAAAAACAAGTCCAAGCTGCCCAGCCGCAGAAAAGGCGCCCCAAACCATGACAGATCCTCCACCGAAATTACGTCGCTCTAAATTCAAGGGTGCTTTGCACAGATTCCTCCAACACCCTCTTCTACTGTCAGGTCTAGATTGAACTTTTTCTCGTCGCTCCAGATTATCTAAAAATTAAAATAAAGATATGGAGTCAAAGTCTGCAAAGTCGTATTAGCCGCATCTTCGTCCAATCAAATGAGGCATTTTTCACTGCAAATTGGAGGCGTGCGACTATGTGTCGCTCCGATAACCTTGGGACCCACCTCATCAACTCTCTGGTGATGCTTTCGCTCCGCTGGGTTACCCTCTAGACAGTGGTTTTGCTCACACGAAGCCGCGTTTCAGCGCTTGAATTTGACAAAACACGTCCAATTGCTCTTTCATCTCGGGCAGAAAGCAGCCGTGGTCGACCTGGACTATTCTTCTTCCCGCACTGATCAGGATTCCGCAGGTATTCGTTTATGCAGTTGGTGACCGGCCCATGTGGGCGGCAATCCTCCTTCTCGACCATCCGGCTTCAAACAGTGCTCTGACTTCAAACAGTGAACTTGTTCCTGGTTAGAGAGACGATTAGCACGAGGTATAGTTACAGGAAACCGAGCAAACTCCTTTATGATCCCGCATCCCAATTCCCCCTTATGGAAGGAGAGAAACGGAAATTTTTTATGAGTGGACCCGTATTCAGTGATACACAGAAAATTCGTCCCGGGTAAGTTATTTAGGTTATTCGGAGTAGAAAATTTCTCTGAAAAACGTTACTAAGGTTTTTCGACATGGGTATCGACTGGTGATAGCAGCATTTTTTCGACATGCACAGCAAATTTGGAATCACGAAAATTTAGGGCGGCCCTATATTTATGAGACGCAGTGTATATATACATATATTTACTTATTTATTTACTTATTTATATTCATAATTACATTTATTCAATATATATTGCTTCTCATGTACATCTAATTCTTTAATACCATTACTGCGCGTATATGTATACTTTCCTTTCTATTGCCCGTGATATCAGTTGCTAATAATGGACCAATGAAGCCTTCCTGAGTAGACCTACTTTGGTTAAAACAGTGAGACAATCAAGATCTTACAATGTTGACGAGTTATGGACAAAACTTTGGCCTCGGGCGGGACCAGCGACGAAATAACAGCAGTTTACAAAACATAAAGTCAAAACAAGTTATATCACGTAAAGCTTTCAGTTAACAGTTCAAGGCTGATACCGGCTGACCTTCTGACCACGTCGTAGGAGTGCTGATAAGCCATGGCATGTAAGCCATCGAAAGGCCAGGCAAGCTGTGTCTCGGCAGTATAATGGATAAGCGCACGGTGCCCGGATAGCTGTAGACAAGTTCGGGTTCAAATCCCGTCCGGGCCAAAGTTTTGTCCATATCCCGCCAACTTTATGTTATCCTGATTGTCTACATTGTTATACCCAATGTGCATCTGTTCAGGTAGAACCATGGCCTATTAATAGCTTTTACCTCATGTGAGCCATGAAAAATCAGACCCCAAAAGTACTCTTGGGACATTAATCAGTCCTGTCTGAGGTATGCCCGCTCATTCGACTTCCATTCAGAATCGTAGTGACGTTTTGAAGGCGTACGTGGCAGATACAGTGATTTACGGAGGCCAGCCCAGGTCAATGTTTTGATCATCACAGACGAGTCTGGTGCCAATAAACCGACTATCGAAGGCTGGGCGGGTCCAGGATTCGAACCCTGCGAGTGGGATAGTGCGCCACTTGCGACTACATTAGTTGAAATACGATTACGAACGCAAACATTACCTTGTCGGTTTCAGCACACTGCTTCTGCATATTTCCAGTAGTTTCCTTAATAAGACCAACAGTGAACCGTATATCACGTCCAGAGCTTTTGAGAACTTCTATATGTCGCTCCTGAAATGGAAATTTCGATAATTATTTTCTACTTCCTACGTTCACTTGATTACAAAATTAATGCCTAATAGAAGAACAAAATTAATGCCTAATAGAAGAACTTCGAGCTCTATGTGATTCAATTCGATTCGGTCGAAAATACTGCTTTCGACTGTTCACTGTAGGGGATCCGCCCTGAGTTTTTGAGTGTTCAGATACCGTAAAGAGGGTTAACGATGCAGCGATTGCGCCTACCGATGAAAAAGAAGTTAGTTCGTTGCATAGGCCTGCTACGTTGCTGCTACTATTACTAGTCTGACACTTTCACCTCCATTTCTCTGTTCATCACTATAGTGGTAAATTCGTGCTGTGTCATTCTGTTCTTACCCGGTTTCGTCTGCAAGCAGTACTGTACTGCAAAGTAGTGTAAGGTATAATGCAGCATTGCAGGTAAGTGATTGAGTGTACAGGCTACCTCTCGGTATTCACTTCAGTTGTCGTAAGCATGCAGCAACACGCCCCTTGTGTAGTTCCAAGAGGAAGATTGAGGTGGCTAATGCGCAGTTAGGTGGCCCTTTTTGCAAATCAGAGAGATTGCAAATCTCTTTTATGAGCTAGATGAGTGTAGTCATTCAGTAGTGATGAAGATTTGTTCTAACCGAGAAGATACACGAATAACAAATGGAACACACAAGAAAATATTTGCTTAAGCCCAGGTCACAAGGAGCAGGGGTGGCCGCGCGACCTGACCTATGTCAGAACAGAGATTGGGCTTTTTGAAGATCCTAAATTTTGCTTCTATCCCCCTTGCGCTCCAACCGACACCTTGAAAAATCAGCCGGTGAGTTTTGCACGACAGATTCCGTAACTATCTAACTTGTTGGGAGCTGTTTGTTAGGGACTTAACATTGGATCCAGCGTCCCTTCATATAAATTTTTGATGTCGAGAATTTCGATCTAATCGCTTTGAATCGGATCTTTCTGATGTGAGTAAAAGTGATCTAGTCTGTTCGCATGATAAGTGTATCGCCGATTGGTGGAACAAGACCCAGAGCGAGAAATTTGGAACGCGTAGAATAAGCGTAATCTCACCGAATCGGCAGTCAGGTAAAAAAAGAGGGATAGAGTCAATGAATTTGAACACAGATGAATTGAGCAGAACTCCGCTCTTGGAGTGCGTTGAGTGTTTGTGCGTTTGTTTAACCGAAAATTTTGTACTTCCTGTTTTAGTGCACCAAATTTAGAGTAGACGTAGGCGACAGGCCATTTCAATAGGAGGAGTAGCGCCCGGCATTAGCTGGGCGACCCTACTGGTTCAAAGATAAACTCAGCTCGAACTGGCTGGCAATTGTGACGGTACTGATAGGGTGTCTGGAAAGTTTTGAGAAAATTCAGTTGGTTCCTTCAACACAAAATGACTGCAACGATAAAGTTGGATCAGCGATAAAGATAGTGGCCTTTCTTGACCACGATGTCTCTTCATCGAAAGGACAGGGCACTGATGTTGTATCTCCAGAAAGAAGTGAGGCGCGACGCAATGCATTCATCTACTACCTACTTGTCTTCCTGACGGTTGTTGAACTTTTCCCTTTAGAGCCCTCTGTGGGCTAAGCCTGAGTGTCGAAGCGATCAGTTTCATAATGGAGAAGCAGAAAGCTGCGGTAGGCTTGTCGACACATCGTTCGGTCGATTACTTACCTTGAACGACGACGTCAAATACCGATTGGCAGCAACATTGATCTATCAACGATGTCCTTTCCCTGCTATCGAGCCTATAGCCTCTCTTTAGCCCGTTCGGGAGCAACATGCTTTCACATTTGAGAGGAACAACTTTCTCAAAATTTGCCGGAACCCTATTAGTTCCAAAACGAGGTGGAAAAATAAGAGTTTGAGGAAATTATAAACTTACGATTAATCCGCAGCTAGATACAAAGTCAGTATCCGTTATAAAAGCCTGAAGACCTTTCTCACACTAGTTTAAAGGGAGGGAAAAGGTTCGTTAGGTCAGATCTGTCAGGTGTGTATGCATACATGCAAGTTGGATTAGAGCCAGAGTCAGCCAATTATAAATGTGCTTCAATTTTATTTTATCTGAACAGAACACACATATATCCATTAGTAATCATCATAGTTTTACTAGAATTATCAATGCATATCTCCAAGAGTATTCTTATAATGCTCAAAATGTCAATTTGTGTTAAAATGGCAAACGTGTCTGTAAAATCGGCAGTGTATACTTAGAGGTTAGAGCCACAGTTCAAGACAGTTTTAGAGGGGACTTTTTGAATATACACGAGTGCCATTTAGGATCGTGCCGATTGAGGTTGAATAGGCAGTAATGCGAATTTTTCATTAAGAAGTTGAATTCTTGGGACATGCAGCGGATGCAGATGGCATACGACCATCGACAACTACAGTTAAGGCTATGATACAGGGAAAAGAATTTTGAAGGAGGTTTTGCAGCCTATTTTGGTATGGTTCAAACTATTATGGTAGCTTATGTATACGATTGGCATGCACTGCCATGACCCTAGCAATTCCACTGAATGAGCTGCATAGAAAACGGATGGAATGATACATCATAGCCTTAAATTTAGTTGTCACGATCCAGTGCCATTTGCATCCAATGCATGTTCCAAGAATTCAACTCCTCTCTTGAAAAATTAGCAATTCTGCCTTTTAAACCTGATTCCGGCGCCCTTGAGCTGCTTCCACATCTTTTCCAGTCTCCTTACAGGCGTTTGATCTTCGCTCCGTCACGTAATATCATCTAGGTATACTGATAAACCTCCAATGTCAATGAAAATTGTCTCCATGGTTCGCCGAAAAATCGCGGGAGCCGACGCTGTCCCAAATATTACAAGTGCATATTCAAACAATCCTCTCTGCGTAAAGAATAGGGTTAATGCGGACTCCGGCTCTGATTCTGCTCGCGTATGTGCATATGCACCTGTTAGGTCTAACGTAGAGAATCTTCTCCTCCAACTGTCATGTGGATCAATATCCGTTTTTGATAACGGGCATTGATTTATATCTAGCTGCAGGTCAGTTGTAATTTTATAATTCTCGCAAATCCTTATTTTTCCACCTGGTTTTGGAATTAATACCGTCACAGCTGCCAACCGGCTATGATTCATCGTGCAGATCCGTTATCCATCAGCTCTTGCAGCTGCGCATCCACTTTGAGTCCCAGCGCTTTCGACACCGGTCATGCTCTGAAAAAAATTCGAACTGGGCTTATCTCTGAATTTCAACCTAGCTTCAAACCCAGTACAATTTTCTATGTCTTCATTCTCTTGCAAGAGATGAACAACTCCTTTTTCTTCAACAGGATCCGACTCTTCTTCTGGAGATTATGCCTCCTTCATAATATGGCCCGCAATCTACAATAGATGCAGGGCTTTAATTATGGCCCATTCCACATAAGGTGTGACTAACTTGTTCAAACTCCATCATCACAACCGCTTTAAAAACTGCAAATTTGACAAATGCTGCTATCTGTCCTTGCGTTCAATCTGAAGCGTTCGACATTGTTTGCTGTTGCCTCTATGCCCGACTCCCTTGACTACGGTGACATTATTTACGCCATGTTCTCTGGTCGATAACAGACACTGAAAGTCTTGAATCTAATTCAATTATGCATCAGGCTCTTCTATTTTTATCGTTAGCATCCTGAACGGCTCTGCCGACAAAACAGCTACTTCACTACCATTTCCCTCCTCACTACTACTCGGCTAGAGCCGGTCGACTCTCCACTGTTACCGGGTGGCCCTTTCACTTTCACACCTAACCTCCTTACAGCGTACAGACCGTTTCGCCTTTACTGTCCCAAATTTGCGGTTGCTTTCCTCACTCACCGCCCTCCTCACTTTACGATGGCGTCCATTCTGTTCTATCGAGCAATTAGTCGTTTCTAGACAGCAAATGGTCAGAGAATCGGACATACTGGGCTATTTGAGACTTGCGTCTGGGAAGCAGGGTTCAAAAAACTAAGGAAAATGTTACTTGCCCTCCTTTACTGTTGCGCGTAGTTTAGCCAACAAGTTTGCAGAGTTCCATCACGTTTATTATTCAATCGATGATGTTCACATTAGGTTTCTATCCAATGTGTCTTGTGTATGACCTTATTGAGCGTTTCATTCCGATGAAGAAGTCGATGAAGAAGTCGGTGCCATCCGTCGAGAGGTACCCCCACATATGAAAAATCTTCATAAATAAGGGAGAGGTTATTTGTCACTTGTGTTTACCCTTCAGTCTCCACGGAGTACAATAAGGTGAACAGGGACTTCACCTTCCAGGCGATTTCTTGGATATAAGTAGAACAAACTATCCAACAGTTAATGTATGAAAAAACTCTTCTCTTTCATCAGCAAGCGCATGGGTGAGAAGAAGCATACATCGCTTCTTCATGACTTTGAAGGCGAGGCCGCAAACCTCCACACAGGCTGAAGTCACGGTTTTAGGTCATTTCTTTGCTAGTGTATTGGCGGTTCTAAAGAATTCTTGCACCTGTTTCTGATTCGAATGTTGAATATGAATTTCCCTTATCAATTATTACATACCAGGCGGCTACGCACGCTGTCGCATGCGCCAGGGCTCTAGCCATGAGATACGGAGCCACATGAGACGATTTTCATTCATTAATTCATTCATACATTCATACATTCATACATTCATTCATTCATACATTC